GCATTCTTAAACAATAAAGAGAAAATACAAGTTTGTGATTCTTTGTTGAATAACTTTTTAGTATTACTCAATAAAATTTCAAATTTGCTTAAATACATCTGAGAAATACTTTTTACACTTTCAAGTATTGTCTCTAATGTGTTGTCTTTGATGAAATTATTACATGAGTGATACTGTGTAAGATTGAAAACTTTTAATTATTAATTAGAAAGAAACACTATTAATAAGCAAACAGTAATAAAGTTTTTATGTAAATTAAAAAAAATAAGCAAATTGATGAAATCAAAAATTTTAAGCAATTAAAGTTTGGGTTTAGCAAAATGAAGGTGAAAGAGAAGTGAAAATGCAAGCAATAAAATGAATTTCACAAATAATTAATGAAGAAGAAAAAAGATAGCTTCGGAAGTATTTTATTCAATTACTTATTCAATCATTTATTTAATTATTCATTCGTTCATTTATTCAATCATTCACTTCATAGCTGTTAATGCAAATTTATCAAATGTTGCAAGTTTGGTAAATGGTTGATTGATCGATTGATAGGAAATTTCTAATGCAATCATTAAAATGTAAGTTTGAAGATGGTATTGGAGAAAAAAAAGATTGAGTAAAATAAATGATTGACCCTGAAGTTTATGATTCATTCTCAGATTGAGAATATAAGATTTCTTTAAGTTTAAGACTGAATTCTCAGATTTGAAATTAGTTAAAATTTTTCATTGTGCAGCAGCAGTTCAGTAAGTAATTTATGTCTTACAGTAGTAGTAAAAGAAAATTAATGAAAGTTGTCAAGTTAAACATTAACAGGCAAGGCCGCGCTTAATCAGTATTATGCTTCATTTTTAATGAATGAGCAAAAAATGTATGAGAAACTTTTTAATTTATGAGGATTATTTCATGTGAACTTTCATATTTAACAATACATAGCGATTTTTTGATCTTAATTAATGATTTTTAGATCTTAATCGTAATTCTAACAAAAAAAATACTTCAAAAGCATTGGTTGAACAATATTAAGTTTTGCAAAATTTTCATGCAAATTTCCCTCTCAAGCAAATCTGAGAATTAATTGCTTGTAAAAAGTTGTCATCACACTATAACTTATCAGACATGTATAATATATGTATAAATTAATCACTGAGCACAAACGGACAAACTGTATTATGTCTACTCTGAAATCATCATAAATTTATTCTTTCTTTTTTTTTGCTAGAATTATAATTATGAATAAACCTACGAAGTTTATTTAAAAGTGTGGAATTAATGAGTTTTTTTAAAAAAATACACTATTATAACTATTTTTAATGGGAGTTAATTTTACAAAAAAAGAATTCATGATGAATTTGTTTTTTTGTCAATTTATTTCGTTTTATAATGTTTTTAAACAATTTTTGTGTCACTCAATTATTAACGATATAAAAATGAATGAATAATAAAAATGTACACAAGAAAATAGCAACAAAAAAAAAATTTCATCAAATGTTAAATAAATTTGAGTAAATATTTTTACTAACGTGAAAGACATTGAATTTTATGACGAACTAAAATGCATGTCAAGAAATAATCACATAACAATTATGCTACTTACTAATTTCAAATTTTTTCGTGAAATTTTTTGTTCTTCAAATTCATATTAAATTATGTTTTCAACTAATTCATTTTGACGAATTCATTTGGACTGCATTGAATTCAAGCATTTTCATGCGATTCTTCTGAATGCATTTTGAAAACTATGTCAACTATGTCCTATTGTATTTCTGACCTTAATCTGCTCAACAAGAAAATGTAAGAAGCTGTAACAATTCTTCAAAAACGTTCAATTTAAAAAAAATAAAATTATTCAAAATTGGAATGAAATACAAAACATAACTCTTACTTAAATTTCTTAATATTTCTAGAAAAATTCATACAAAGTGTATAATTTAGTTTTATAATAATGATATGTACTGTAGATGAGATAAGTTTGATGAAAAGTATTTCATGAGATAAAGAAAAAATTTTACAAAAATATACCAAAGAAAAATTCAAATAATCATTGTTCAAATGCATTTCAAATATATCACATCAGTTTTGATATATACTACTTTTTACTTTTATATCTACACTTGCCTTTTTGAATGATACTCTTTTGCATTATTCAAGAAGACATAATAAAATAATAGAGAATGTACTGCAATAAGAACAAATGAAAATGTATAATTACCAGAAAGAAAACATCGTTATAGTTAATGAAATACATTGTTGTGATATAACTTCCAAATCAAAATCACATTTCCAAAAGAAATTAAAATAGCAATAATTATTTGAAAGCAAGCAAAATAAATCATAAAATGAGCAATTTGCATTCAATACTTTTAATTGCTTGAATGTTTTACTGCTCAAAACAACAACTCTCTTAGCATTTTAATTTCAACTGCTTGGTTTGAACTGTTGATTCAGTTGGTAGATAACTAATACACAAATATTACATCTTCGAATAAGAAATTTAAATATTAGTTTTGAGATAAAATTTATTCTTACAACTCTGAGGATTCGCGAAAGTTGAAATAGACTAATCCTTGCTAAATACAAAAAGCTCAAACTTCCAAAAATTCTGTGAAAGCTCACGTGACTGTGAATTATGGGCGTATGATTACAAAATTAACAAGCACAATATTTTATTAAGAATTTTTATGTTGTAAAAGGAATTTTTTGCATATCTTTATGTTTGTGAATTTGTAATGAAATCGTAATGAGGATTCCAAAACGAAAAAAAGTATCATAGCTATCATGTGATTCTGCTAAGTATTGCACATTTGGTTTAAGCAGCACATTCATGTTTATGTCCTCAAATTAACTTCATTGAAAGTAATAAATTTTGTCTTGAAAATAATTTGAAAATCTTTTTATATATATATTATTAGTAAATTATTGCATATCACCCACATATAAAATATCTGTAAATATTCTCGTTATGGTAAATGTCAGTTACAAAAATTTTCGCACAAATTTTTACAGCCATTTTTAGAATATTTAATCTTTCGGAACTTCATTCAAGGAATTAATTTCAGGAATATAATGGATTCAACTTCATAAAAGTAGAAACATGTCTTTATTACGCTGTGTCAGTTAATGAGTTGAAAATTTTACAAACTGAATACTTCTCAAATTTATAAATAACTGTGCTAGTTACTTTCATTTGCGTACTCTTTACCAGCAACGTACTGTGTGAAAAAGAAAACAACTGTTATTATTCCAAAGTAGGCAACCTGTATACATACTTTAACTTTGATTATAACTTTACTTGCAAAAAAAAAAAAATCTTGTAGTAAATATTTAAATCAAAAAAAAAGATCTTGTGCAAACTGCAAAACGCTTTGATCGCGTGTATTGAAAAACAAAAACTTCAAAAAATTAAATCAAAATTTGTTTTAAAAAAAATTTGAATTTGGAGAAAAAATATTCAATTAAATGAAAACACACTTTGTCCAGTTACTTCAAGAAGAAGTATTTAGTGTTAGTTTTCCATAACTGTTTCCGTGCCATTGAAGTTTTGTTTGCTTCTAGACTGCAGACTGCTAATCAGTAGCAAAGCACTGTGTGGGTCATTACTAAGTGATTTTTTTTTCAATGGGAAAAAGTTATAAGAGTCAAAAGTTTGCTTTCGTTCGTTTTGGACTTATTTTGCCTTCTCAAAAGAAAGCAATAGATGTTGCGAACAGTGTATTCTTTGCCTTCATTGCATTTGTTATCATTTATGTAAATACAATTGATTCATCTGAAAAATTTAACCGAACTCTCATGATTTTTAGTTCCGTCATTTGATGTTGAACAAAGTAGTAATGATTGAAGGGTACATTGAAGTTTGTGTAAAATTCTAACATGCTGATCAAAAAATTGGAAGAAAAATAGTTATATGTACTTTGTGTCAAAAATCCACAATTGCCTGATGCATAATAACAATTACAAACTTTGAATTCACAATAATAATTAATAATAATAATAATACCAATAACAAATAATAACAATAACAACTAATACCAATAACAAATAATAACAATAATAATAATAATAATAATAATAAAATTCAAAACTATGAAAACTTAACGAAGTCACCGCTGTAAAATATGCTGAAAAAAGAAAAAAACAAGTAGTAATTGTTTCACAGATATCCTAATTGCTTATAGTTTTTTTGCTTTAAAAAAGAGCACGAAATAAGAATTGAAAAAGTAAAGCAAATAAATCTGATCAAATTAAATAAATAATATGTATTTTGAAATAAAAAATAAAAACTAAAACATCGTTTCTTTACCTTTTTCTAAGGAGTAAACTGTGTTTACTACGCTACAACGCAGTAATACCATTATGCAGAAGGAAACGAATAAATACTTTCCTCAAAATTTTACACAATTCTTGTCGTCTTTTTTTCCATTTCACTGGGAAACAAAAAGTAGGAAATTGGTAATTGAATTATCACATATTAATGAAGCCCAAAATTAAAATAAAAAATATTGGTAAAGGTAGTGGACAAGGGGATTGTCAACTATTGCCTATTTATTCCATATGATAAATGCGTTGTTTTGTTTACAGTACAGTGCCAAAATAATTCAAATAAAAGTATATTAGAAGTACAAACGATGTAAGTATAAAATTGCCAACAAAATTGAAAAGAGAAAACAATTAATTTAAAGTTACTAAATATATTTGTGATTGCTGTTGTATACAGTTGCATGTACTGTTATCTGCCATTTGATTACTGTTATTCACACTTTTTCCTATTCATTTTTTAACAATATCAAAGTATTTTTTTGCCTGCAGAACTTTCAATTATTCATTTTTAGTTATTTCTCTTAAACGAGAAATGCAAGCCAAAATGAACAAAGAAAGTTTGTATGTTGTGAACAATGAATGAATGAATGAGTGAATGAATGAATGCGTCACATAACTCAGTGCTAAAACGATGCTTACCACTCGTATTACAGAGCAAATATAATCATATTATCGTCAAAAATAAAGCAATTTCATACAGTAGCATATGTATAATGAAAACTTGAAATAGTTAGCGTTTGTTTTCAGTTTTCAAATAGAATAACGCTTAATTACGGAGAAAATGACAGTGAAACAAAAATTGCAATATTAGAAAGTTTCAGTAAAATTAGGCTATCAGTTCTTGTAGTTTGCTTCGAGAATTTCTTACTTAATTTGTTGAACAGATTACAGCTTATAAGTTTTGTAAAGGTATAGTACACTCAACAACTGTATTTCCTGTGTCTGCGTGAAATATTAAATATGTTGAAAGGAATTATTGCAGATGAGATGAGGTAGCTAGCTATATACCAACGGAAAAAACGTTAATACTGAAGTCAGCTAAAGACTAAACAAATGCTTACCAGAAAATAAGCAAACAAAAAGAAGAACAGAAAGCTCTGTAGATAATGTGAGTAATTCAGGTAAGCTTTGCAGTTGCATAAAAGTTGACCGGCATTCAACTAATTATGTTCATGCAAAGCTGATTTTTCTTTTAAGTATGCTTATTACTATTGCTAATGCACGGCTCGTGAAGTATCCTCACTTCCTCTTTAACAGAAATCACGTAGTGAATATCAGCACCTCTACGTGGTATCACGTTTGGATTAATGAGCGACTTACTTGCATCTGTATAGCATTAAAAAATACATTTACTGCACAAGTTCTTTGATTTTTGCGTAGTATTTATTCTGAAAACGGAAAAAGTCATGCAGCAAACATTAACTCATTTCATGCTATTAACACAACATAAAACTGGTCGGTGCGGATGAATGTATTATTGAGTTTGCCGAGGGTAGCTAATATCATCGAATAAAACGTCGTCATCAGGAATGTGCATTCCCGAAAATAAGTAATAGCTCCATCCAAAAAGGATTGCACCACTAAGAGGTGCTATTATTGGTATTAAAAACCAAGATAGATAAGGGTACCTAAAAGTAAGGAGCGAAAAATTTTATAAAGCTTGAAATTTTTAAAATAGCAAAATTGAATGTCTAGATTTCATTCTATTCACAGCAATAATTTTTTTAGGCTGTTTCATAGGCAAATTAAAATTTTCACGTGAAAACTTCGGTTCCATAAATGAAGAGAGTAAAAATGCGTGGCCCAAAGTCACGTGCTGGATTAATTGGATAACCAACATTCATTCCTAATGATGTTCCAATTAATGTATATACTAAACCAAACAAGATGGGATGAACCCAGACTGGAATCTTGCTACGTTTATCAGTTATCGCAGCAAATGATAAAGCAAAGAAACCAGTACCAATCAACTACAAACCAGTAAGCTCGTAAGTTTTTATTTTAGTAGATTGACTGACTATTTGTAAGTAAGTCTTTGATATTTGTATAAAATTTTTAAGAAATTAAAAGCTCATTTTTTGGGCAAAAGATAAATGACATCATTGTCTTAATGAGTTTGAATTAGTAAGTAATTGCCTGATCTATATATGCCCCCGAAACTGATAAATATGTTGCAGGGAATGTTATGAAAATATTTGCTGTACCAGTCAATCCTAGTGCTGTTCGGTTTCCTCCATCAAATTCATTTATTGCATCTAAAACATACAAAGATAGTTAAGAGAAAGTGAAGAGATATTGTAAAAATTTGAATTAATAATGAGTTATCAACTACTGAATCTTGCTTTTTAATGTTGAGATGAACTATTTGTGCAATAAATTGCTTCTGCATTCACTATACTAACACAAACCACCAACTCTTACTGAAATTAACAAGTATTATGGGATTAATATAAAGGTGCATAAGGAATAAGTAAGGCATTCAAACACAAAGGCATATAAATTTTGAAATAATCTTATTAACTAGCGTAAAAGATAGATTCCACAACGTAAAATCTTTTCATTCATATATTTATTAACTTTTTAAGTATTCTCTAAATTGAGAAACGGAAAAGTAACAATTTGACAAAGTAAACAAGTAGTCAAATAGCAAAAATTGTAATTCAGTTAATTAATTTTGGTGACAGAGTACAAATTCTACAACTACTTTTCATTCAAACTGTAATCTTTTCCACAAGCATAAACAAAAAGCGAATTTGAATAAGCAACAATTTTTGAAAAACTTTTCACCATAATAAACAATATAAGTAGTAGCTGCGCCAAAAAATGCTCCAAATGTTTGAATAATGGAGTAAAGAGTAAATTGTATAAATGATAAATCACCAAACGTCCACATCATCAGCGATATTGCTGGATTTAAATGTGCACCTTAACATAAATTTATCCGCTATTTCTAGTCCTTGACTGTGAGATAGAATGATCTTGGAACAAGCTGTCAAATATTGCACATTTTTCATTAAGACAAATAAGGTACGCACAAATAAAAAGTATGTAATTATATTTTGTTGCAAAAAATCACAGCAATACTTTGTAAGTCTGATAATTTATTTTTGTAAATGATTTTTAAGCTGAGGTGGCAGTTCAGTATACTGATGAAAACCATCATCCTTTACTAAATTTATTTTTTGATATATACCCGAAAGTTTGGCCACTGGAATTGATGCAAAAGTTATAGCCAGTCCCCATCCAATGTTAACCTGAATCCACGTGTTAAGTCTTTCACTTGACAAAACATACTGCGCAAAAACGCTTGTACCGATAAACTGCAAATTTTTTTCTTTTTGAATTAAAAATTTGCATTATTAACACGTAAGCATACAAAAATTACAATTTTCAACAATTTTTTGCAACTTTGTTTATTAGAACGAACCCATTCAAGAAGTAAAATCATCAAAAGATTGATTCAGTGATTCGTATTAATACACTTAAGAATGAATTGGAATGAGTTTACCAACTTGCATTACTTTCTAAATATATAATCATGTGAAATAATATAAAAATAATTTAAATACAAAACTTTGTAAGGAAAAAAATAAGCAAAAATTTAATGATGACTACCAGTAATATAAAAGTGCCATAAAATTCAGCAAGCAAATTTCTGGCAAGTGGATTTCGTATTGCAAAGTTCCGGTGCAAATAATCAGGTTTATATTTTAGATACCAAATTTGGGAATAACTCTAAACTAACAGAAGTAAATGCTGAATAATATTGTTCAGTCTTGTCATATTTACGCACAAAAATCAGTATGGTCATCCAAAAATTATAATGATTTTAGAGTAATTCAATTTTTCATTTATCAAAAAGATAAGATTGATTCAATAAAAGTAGTTAAAACTACTTAGTTACTCAAAATTTTCGTCAATGAATTTACCCTTGAAGGTGTGCTGCGCACCACTACTGGACTTTCTTCTATTGCAGATCGTTCCATTCGCTGCGTTACTTATACACTTTGTAAAGAATGCTAAAGAATTAAAAGCTGAAAAAATTGAGAATATTTTAAAAAAAGAAGAAAATGACTTGTGATTTGCACTACAATATGTAATCTTAAGTAAAACTCTTTGATTTCGAGAAAAAATTTGATATGACTTAAAACTGAAAGGCGCATTAGCACTTTTTGATTGAAAATATGAACAGAATCGCTCAAAGAACCAACCAATCTGTAAAATTAATTATTTTGCAATAATTTTTGCTCCAATTCATCACATTAATGTGCTGCAAGTGAATAGCATAGAACTGCACAGAATTTGCATAATTTTAACCTTTGTCTTCAATTTGATATTAAAAAAGACCTTTGGCTTTTTTGCATTTCTATGCAAATATCAGATTTGATCACTTTAAATAATTTATTTCGAAACAACTTTTCATTTTTTGCGTTTTGAATTTTAAAAAATGTCTCCTTTACTATGAGACGAAAATTGTAGCATATCGCGCCTCATCGCTGTGCCCGCGCTCAAATGCTACTCTCACTTTTAAGCTTACGTATATCTTCTTGAAACCAGAATTCCACTTGGGATTGAGAATTCTAACTGTTGGTTGGGAGTCATTTTCTTCTCTCTCTTCGGAATGTTTTTAATTCTTTTGGCTTTAAATTGTTTGCATATTCTTACAGAGTGTGTAGGTAATCAACACTGAAATAATGGAAAGATCTGCAACAAATAGTAAACTCATAACGATGCGCCATATATCTTCAACGGTAGAATTATTTATGGAAATTAGGAGTAACTAAGTAATTTTGACTACTTTACCTTTGACAGACAACTATATGGATCATGAACACGAAAAAAGGCCTCTGGCTTTTTTGCATTTCTATGCAAATATCAGATTTGATCACTTTAAATACAGTGTAGGTGTCTGTGTAGTCAAAATTTGCTAGTTGTTTCAAAAGATAGTTTTTAGCGAAATCTTGCTTTCTTTGCTTGAAAAGTGTGGAGACATCTTTTGAATTATTCAAAAATTTGTCATTTTTTAGGAAAAAATGAAAGTGAAAAAGTTCCTAGGATTCTCTCAAAGTTTTTCCTTGCTGGAAGAAGATCCACAGCGTGCTGAGTTGCACTTTTCTGGCTGCAGCTTTTTCAGACAACGTCTTGTCTACTCGTTGCTTAGTGGACGTCTCGTTATTATTCGTGATATACGTAAACATGAGAATGAGCCCGGCATCAGGGGTGTGCTTGCTTAATATATCAGAATTATTGGGACAGATAGTGTTAACTTGTAGTACTTTGAATTCTTATGTTGCTACTACCGTGCTACAAAGCACAGCACACATTTCTTTGCATTAAAAAAAAATATCCTGTTCAACTGATGTATTATTTTTCACGCTCAAAAAGTTAATAAATAAGTCATGCTTCAGAATTTGAAGTAAAGCTTTTGGTGCTGCTAGAAAAAGTAACTAATGGAACGCGAATTCGTATCAACGAAACAGGTTCAGTCATTTGTTAGCTTTCGACACCACAAGTTTTCTGTTTCTATGGGTATAGAGACTGTAAAGATTTTTGTTTTCCAGGAACGGAAGTGTTGTTTTCGCCAGGAATGGTTATGGGTGGTTCCCTCGATTTTGATTGTGGTACTGATCGATGTCTCAGGTCAGTTTTTTCTTGGTTTCGAAAACAAAAAATGGTTGTTGAACCACTCCTAAATTGTTAGTTGTTTCATTTCAGATACTAAATTCCTTGTTTAATCAATATAGAGATACAGATGGAAATCTGTCAAATTTTTGTTACAAGACGAAGTCGCATTTGATTACTAGCTTTTCTAGCTATTATGTGGAACCTTTGTTGATGCTTGCTCCTTTCTGCAAGTATCCATTGAAAGTGGAACTGCGTGGGGTGACTAATTCTCCTGGTGAATTAAGCATTGACGCTATTCGGGCGACGTGGCTGCCAGTTTTCAATAAATTTGTGCGTGCCTTCGAATCGCCAGAAATAAAAGTTAGATTTAATTTATGTTTCAGGTAGTGTTAAATTTTCAGAATAATCCAATATGAGTGGCTAATTTTTATAACTGAAAAAGTTCCTCAGTTTAGATTGTAGCTCGAGGCTATAAACCAGATGGTGGAGGATGTGTCCTGTTTACAGCTCCGATAACAAGAACTCTTCGGCCAGTACAGGTATACCTCTACAAATGGTATTGCTTTATTTGCGTATGAAAACTACATTTTGCTACTTTTAATTTCGCTTTACTTAAGAAAACAAAATGCTGTACATTAATGGGACAACTATTTATATGTTGAGTGATTTGTTTGCTTGGCAGTTTTTTTTTTTTACTTTGATACTTTTGATCATCAGATTTAGTGCAAGTCAATGGGAAAAGTTTGTAAAATTCGTGGTATCGCTCTTATTGCTAAAGTTTCGCCATCGATAGCTCATCGTATGATTGATGCGGCGAAAAAAGCGCTCCGTAATTATGTTGCTGATGTTTACATCACTATTGATCAAAGGAAAGGAGCAGCTGGTGGAAGGTTTCTGTGTTTTATCTCATTTTAACTCTTTTGTAATAATCGTCATTTTGAAATTGTAAAAATTGTTTTCTAGAGTACTTCAGTTCGATCTAATAAACGTAAAAATAAACTTGATACAATAATCGTTTAACTTATATAAAGCGAATTGATGGACAACTGTCGTGTATAGAACATGAAAACACTGTTTAGACATCGTGACACGTCTTAAGTTAGTTGAATATTAAACTTATGTCGAAAGTTTAACTTGAAATTATTACTTTCGCAAAGTACGTTATATTATTTTAAAGATTAATAAAATAATTCTTCCAGTTCACCAGGATTTGGACTTTTTTTAACAGCAGAAACTACGGAAGGCATAGTTTATCATGGAAACGCTTTATCGAAGCCTAAAGGAGAGCAAGGTAATCAAGCTCTTCCTGAAGATGTTGGACATGGTGCAGCTTGTCAGCTATTAGATCAGATCTATGCGGTGAGAGAGCTAGATATTCATTTTTTGAAAAATTCTATGTTTGTAAATAGTATTTTATCTGTCTATTGTTAAGTGGTTGTATTTTAGGGAGGATGTGTTGATATAACAGCTCAGGCACTAGCTGTAACATTCATGGCACTTTGTGAAAAAGATGTTAGCACGTATTTGTTTGGACCACTTTCAGTTTGTTGGTTTGTTAATTTTTTCTTTCAAAATCATAGCTGTAAGTAGTAATACTTCTTTCTACATTAAAAATCGTAATTCAGATGAAATATATGCTTGTCATGAAAATTGTGCACATTACTTTTTGCCATTGTGACAAGAAACAGTTCTCATATCTCACTTCGTTTTGTACTTGTAAAATATGACCATCCAAAAATGCTGCACAACTTTAAATTGCTGTCTCACATTCATAATTTGCTAGAATATCTATATTTTGAAAAATATATTCCAAGCTATGCTTTCATTATTTAGTTGAATTCATTTATTTTGTTTCTTTTTCAGTGTGCATACTCTGAAGTTGTTGAAATCGTTTTTTGAAATAAAGTTTAAAATCGAGGAGTGGAACAAGCAGTGTGTGGACAATAAACAGAGACTTGGATCTAATGAAAAAGCTTTATTAACTTGTATTGGAATTGGCTACAGTAATCTGAACAAAACTGTATTATGATTTAGAGTTCATTTCGTGCATGCTTTTATTTGAAGTTGGTGCCTTTGAAATTGTTGTGGTTCGAGTGGCAAATTTTTGAATGTTCAAATTGAAATAATATCCCAGTTTAGAACACAGTAACATGAGTTCATTTTTCGGGTAATATTAATATCAGTGAGTAAGACTGATGTCTAGTATGTATTTTCTGTTCAGATAGCATCATAATTTGTTTTGTGCATCGTTGGATTTCCTGTTATATTTCCTCTTTTTTCAATTTTTTATCCTTAAAAAAATACTTTAAGAATTTGGTACTGAAATTAGTCCTTATGACTTCGTATGCGTATCGAAAATTTGCCAAATGTCTTCTATTATTTTGTTGATTGTGATTCTGTTTCATGTAAATTTGAAAATTAAAACTCCAGATGCCTTTTGATTACCAGCTTTGTTAGATTGTTTTATGTTCCTACTAGCTGTTCTTAAAGTATTAATCTATTGAATACAAGTATCTGAGGCCTAGACAGTTGATACGTGTATACAGCTGATCATTTTCAAGACTAATAGGAATTATATGGTCTAATGGATAAGGAGTCATTGAATGTCTGGGAGTATTTTCTGGCAAGGTGTACTAATTTAAGTGACTCGACTTTTAATCTCGAAATGTGCGAGTCTGACTGGGAGTGGTTCAAACAACTGTGCGACTTGGAGGATAAAGATTTTTCTTCAGATGTTGATGTCTTATCTTTGGAAATAAGGCTTATTTTGAGGTTGTGTTTTTACTTTTTTCGGTTGTCCCGTAACAATTTTTTAAGTAACAAGTGGAGTGTTAGCAGTAGAAATAGAACATTTGGAAATTTATTTCAATGAATTTTTGGTGTAAGTTATTAAAAATCGAGTGCGATTCCGTGGATGGATTCCGCAGCTTATTTGCCGTGTATTAACGCTACGTGGATCTTTCATGTGACTCGACCTGTCACTTATTAATCGTTCAAGTTATCGTATAGGTTTACTGCTCAAAGTATGTAGAGTTGTGCGACGATACTTCATATTTTGAAGTTACACTTCATTACAGTGTGTCACTCCTTATCACTAAACTGTGTAGCAGTTTGATGGAAAAATTGAGACCTTGAAGTAAAATATGAAAAGATGCTTCTGATATTCCACCTTGAGATCTTACTCTTCCCTTAGTCATAAGAGCTGCAAGTTTTTTCATCTAGGAAACTAGACTCTAATGTATTTTTCTGGATTGATGAGTTTGCATTTATCTGAAGACGATGAAGTTTCACTGTTACAGGTTGGATGCTGGTGATTTCGTTTTAAATTTGCGTAAAACAGATGGTTTTCCAGAAGCTGGTCCTGAGGTAACGAGTAGTTTGGGTATTGCATTTAAGTACTTTTGGCATGATGGTCCCACTCTCAACTCGTTGTGCCAGAATTTCACTGAACATTGTTCAAAGTGCGTTTGTTGCACATTTTTCGATTATGATATAAGTCGTTAGATCAGGTATTAATTGACTTAAGTCTATAGTTTTAATTGAAGCAGATCAAATTTTAGATTGAATCTGGCTGTACAGTCGTGTTCAGATGTCAAGTATCCATTTACATTTGTCAGTTGGAAACTTGATAATGATCCGAATTGTGTATGTACTTTGATCTTTTGATTATTTTATCATAGAGATTTTAATATTAGTATTTTTAAAGTTTTTGTGGTGACATTTTGCGGCAAATTATTTTGCATACTACAATTTCCATTCCTAAAATACTTAATCCAGATGTGACTTTTGGAGATGGTAAAAACATCTAATTTCTTTAATGAGTAATTAACTTCTCTGGCCAAGAGTCAGCTTTGCTTTCATCTAAATTTTTGAACTATAGGTAATGATCACTTTACTGTTCGAAGACTCAGGAAAAAGTGTGGAATATTTTGTGCTAGTTGATTGGTTAGAGCCAAATTCTTTCCCACGTTCCATTAGTTCATCTTCTCCAGAGCATCTTCGAAGTTTACGACTCAATAAATGGGATCCGTCTTTTTTATTTGCTGATAATTTGAAAGTGGTATTTTGTTGTTCAACGTTCTGATTTTTTGAACTACTTTTATCGCGCATCTGATCATTTTGAATAATCATCTTTACGTGATTTGGTGTTTTGAGTATAACTCATGTCCATTCATTTTGTAAAGAGAAAGTGGGCATAGTTTATTAAAAATATACTACCCTTCAGTTACTTTAGTAAAGATTTATTCGTTTATTTTGTTACAGAAATTGTTTTGTATCAAGATCAGACGTGGTACTTTTTCACATTTTGATTTTAAAAGTTTAAAATTAAGGTAAGGAATAAATTTTGATTAATAATTGGTTATGCATATGGATCATTTTTTTACTGCTGTTTCTGTGAAAGGTTTTTACATTGGTCGAGATACGAGAAAGACGATGTCAGTGGAAGCTTTTGAACACAAAATTATTACGTTAAGTAACCAGAGTAAAACGAAGAGTATCATTTTCGAAAGTGGATCATTAATCAAGGATGATTTGACAGATCATATCCATTCTTTACCATGTAAAATAGAATATGATGGGACAGCAAAGGTTTCACAATACTTCATTGTAGATACTTTAGAAAGTAAGTCTTTATAAGTACATTCAGACCATTGATATGTAATACTGCTTGTTCCGTCAGTATTACTATATAAACTTGAATTTTGTAAATTCCAGTAATATTGAAATTGAAGAAATGCATTTTGTTTTCGTTTATTACTGATTATGTGCACTATGTGATTAGCAAAATCCAAGTATTAAATTTTTCTATGCATTTGTAATCTTTTTATTTTCCAAGTTTTGATTTCCTAAAGCACTTGAGTCGTGTCGTGTGTTTGCAGATTATTTCAATGCTGTTTTAGATAATGAGAAAGTAGCTACATTTCGAGGGCGCCCTTTAAATGGTATACAACAGAGAATTCCGGAAGCCTATCTTTTATATGTAGTAGTCGAAAAAAAAAATTGTGGTTTGTTATTGGTGTTTTCACGTATCTGGTCTAAATTTAAAATTACATGCTTTCAAGCACTCAGGTATTTCTGATAGCTTTATTTTATGAAATGACGTGTTGCTTTCAACATTTTATCAGATTTATATTTTTTTTATTTCATGTAAATTGCAGACATGAGTCGTGTTTTCGAAGTGGTTGGTTCAGCAAAATCGTTCATGCATTGGGAGTATGATCGTAAACACAGTCATGATTCTCCTCTTGCTCATGCTTTTGATTATCTTACTGTCGCGGAAGCGTTTTCTAGTATTACATGAACTGATGATAATGAAAATATAAATGGCAAATCTATTTGTGGTTTACTTAACAAGAATTTAGTTTGTGAAGGGTTAGAGTTTGAGAAGTTGAGAAGTATTATACGGATGGATATAAGAGTTTTTGTAGATTTTTTGGATATTTCTCATTTTCTTCATGATCCGAATAATCAAACCAAAGCTTCATTGTATTTCGAGTCATAAATTTTTGTTAACTTTATACTTGTTATATCGGTCATTTTGGTCCGAAGTTTTATTAATGAACATTACAGTTCAGTTTTTTTTCATTGTTATACATTTATAAAACTTGGTTTTTTTAAAAATTGTTGCTCAGAGCGTGGTACTACGTGCCAGATATGCCATGTATTTAAGAACAATGTTCAATTCTAAGAACAATTCTGCTTATTGGTTGGTTTGCTGTCACCTTGTAATATTTTATTTAATACAATTTTTAACATGGATAATCCGATATTCCTTAGTTGTGGATCGTAATCTTTTGATTATTGCCAGAATCATTCGCAAGAGGTGTTTTTTACCATGATCTTGAGTTACAAGGAACCCTAGTTGCAACTATGAATATCACGGGATATGTGATATCGCTTTTTTATCTTTGTTACCTACAGCATTTGGTATGTTAACTTCAATTAGACTAAACTGGTGTGACTTCACTCTTCTAGTGCTCAGACCGTATGTGATCTCATTTGGTTGTGCTAGTTGATTACAAAAAATTTCATTTTTAAAACTGAAAATATTCCGTATTTGGATATTATGTGAGTCTTACAAAAAAGTATGAATGATATTAACTGCAGGTGCGTGGGGCGATCTTGAGTGTTGCAATAGGCACCGCTTCAGCAGTTGTGACTTGTTTGCTCACTTACTATGGTACCTATGTTCGATGTAGAATTAATGAATGCTGTACCTCTGATTGGATATTGGAGAATGATACGGGTAATAATTGTGACTTATCCGTGCTGCCAGTGGTTCCTTCCATATTTAGTTCTCCAAAAGTTTCCTAACAGCCTATTTTTGTTTAATTTTTATAATAGGGACTCAGGAGCAAATTTTATGTTTTGCAACTGTTCCCGCTGTGTATGATATCACATGATGAAGTTCACTGTGCCAGTATTAAGGGATTATACTCTGTAGCAGAAAAATCTGTAATGTGTCTTGAGTTCATGCAAATATTTCAATAAATTTCACCATTGAAGCAAATTTTAGGTTTACAGCATGTGATGCGTACACGATTATATGGACAACACATAGCTGAAGAAACTGTTCTTAAAGCTGTGATTGCACACTGGAGAAACCCGTGCGTATTTTTGGCTTACAAATATTTCTATTCAGTTCATTCTTTGCAAAATGTGTTACTAGCTTTTTGTATATTTAGGTCTTAGGTAACTATTTTGATTTTAGGAATCCTAAGAAGGCACTAGTAATGTCGTTTCATGGATGGACAGGTTGTGGCAAAAATTATCTGAGCACTATGATTGCCGATAACTTATATGTGTTGGTTCATTTTTTAGAATTATTAAAATTTGTTTAAAAACTAAATTTTTAGTTATTTCAAATGACGATTTCACATTTAGTCATACTTACATGTCTGTTCTGGAGCCACATGAAATATGAGCATTGCAGAAGAGGAGCGAGAAGTGATTTCTTCCATGTTTATATTTCGACACTACATTTTTCAAGTCATACAGATACTTCTCTTTATCAGGTTTGTTATGCTTCTGTTCTGTTCTTTTCCATGAATTTGTAAGTTGTCAGCCCTTGTGTAAATTATGTAGGAACAATTACGCTCATGGATTCGTGGGAATGTTTCTTTATGTGAAAGAACACTTTTTGTATTTGACGAAATGGACAAAATGCCTGCGAAACTGATTGATGGATTAAAACCATTTATTGATCATTATAACGATATAGAATCTATCGATTTTCGCAAAAGCATTTTTATTTTTATAAGGTAAACTCCTTGTCGGATTCAGTATATTTTTTTATTTCCTCCTAGAAAGTTGTATAACTTTACGCAAGCTTGTGAATGATAGAACCCATAGAATTATTTCATGCAGGATGTTTTTAGACGTTGAATTTGCAGTAATTCTGGCAGTAATGAAATAGCTCAAAAAGCACTTCAGCACTATGAAAGTGGAAAAATTCGAGAAGAACTGACGCTAAAAGATATGGAAGATGTTTTAATGGGAGGCGCATTCAATACTGAAGGTAATATTTGACTGCGCATTGAGTTCTCATTCGAAAACATACTATAATTTACTATGAAATTAGTCGACGCACCTATTTAATTTATTGTATATGATGAGGTACATCAGATATTCATTTTAGTATTTGTTGTCTTTGCAGTCATTAGCAGTTTAAGCGTTTGGAAGCTGTGTAATTAAGATAACAAATTTAGTATTAGTTGAATCCCTGCAAAATATGTTATTTGATATGTACCTAATAAGTGTCTTCTAAATTACAGATTGAATTACTCAAAAGTCTTGTCATTTAATACTTTACCGAGTAGTATGATTACTTAAAGTATTGAATTCCTCAGCAGGTCTAATTTTTATAAAAGTTCAGGAGGGCTGAAAATGAGTCATTTAATATCTGCACATCTTATCGATCATTTCGTGCCGTTTTTACCTTTGGAAAGGAGACACGTATTACTTTGCATCAAAGAGTATATGTCTTCGCAGAGTTTCGAGCCTACAGCTGAAAGAATTAGAACCGTAGCTGATTCTCTACAAGTAATCTTTCACGAAATTTTCGTAGTTCTGACTGTGGCTGTTATAAGTGTTGTTAATACCATATAAAGGTCATTAATACCATAGAAGGTAGGTGAGTTTGCTTTTTTTCAATTGAACTTGACTGAAGTTCATGAACTACTGGTTCGTATCAAGTTCTCTTTAGATTTTAATTGCTAGAATCACATTATTATGAATTTGCAAAAACTTTGAGATCAACAGTTTGTTCTAATGATGTTTTTCCAGTACTTCCCCAAAACTAATCCGATCTATTCTGCATCCGGATGTAAAAGAGTTGCACAAAAGGTTGAACTCCTAATGTTCGTAGATCAAGAAGAAAGAAGACGACATGAAGATGCTGACAAAGCTGACAACGAACTATAGGTGTTGGTTATACAATTTTACCGCGAGATCACAGTCAAACGGTTAATTAATATTGCACTCCTTTTATTTCCCTAAGTCTTTAAATACTGTTTTGATAAAACATTCCTCAATTATGCAAATGTTTTGGTATAATCTGTGTTTATATTGTTCCCGCAAACTAAGATAAAAAGAAGTATTCAGAAACTCAAATATACAGTCATACAAAATGAGCTGGAGTCACTTGTGCTGAAAATGAGAATGAATTCTTCTTTTGAATTCTTTCAATACCGTTAAATAACATACACTTTTTCGTCAATCCTAACTTAACTGAAAAATAACAGATAGTTTGTGCATAAAAAGCCTGCTCTTTTCATGAAAGAATCTAAACAACAACTCATGTGATAATAAAGCCTACATTGCTGAGCTGCCTACATTTGACTTGAAGATTTATTATGCAATTGGCGTTAGCTACGAAGAGTAGTAATATGGTCTCACATATTTTCTGAGACTGTAGGCGCTACTTAGGCAGCAAGGGCACGTATTGCTTGTAATGGTTCCACGACTAATCCAAAATAAGGGGTACTTTCTCCCCTTTCTTACGTCTCCAAACGTTTGCTGATAACTGAGCTCTGGAAATGAGTTTACATACAAAAGTGGCAACTTGCTGACCCGATAAGAATGCTCGCAAAATCGCAAGCCATAGCGTTATTTCCTTGCATGCATGCACGGATATCAGTAGGTGTTTATCTTCTTGTGGTACTATCTGGAGAAGTATTTCTATTCAACTGATATCAAGGCGTAGAGAACGAGACAAGAACTACAAAGAATTGTTTAGGGAAGAAGTATACTTCTATATAAATGTACAAAAACTTTCCATTTATTGTCTCAAGCACATAAGATGACCAGCTGTTATTGAGAACAACCAAAACAAACTTGTTTCCAGTAAATTCTTTCGTGCTGCAGTGAAAAGGATCATTTTCACTTCTTGGCATCAAAGTTGCTAGATGAAGATCGCTTGTGAAGTTGTGAATTGATATGTGCAACGGCAAACATACTGGATATTAAAAGTTGTGGATCTTTATAACTAATACGTGGCATACCCACGTGAGAAATTGCTTTTGAAATTTTTTCTGTATATGCATAAGTGAAAGAACCGCATGAATTGCCCCAGTGATACGGGACTGCACAGAAGCCTGAAAATTATTTTTGAAATAAGTTCAATTAAGGCATGTTAAGACCCCAAAAACTTTCACCGTAAAAAGTGAGGATAACGCTTCAAGCCATCCACATTCTCCGAAATTTCATGCTCTTTTGTTTGATAATAAGTAACATACACTACACCAGTCATATGCAGTTCAAATGGTGATATTCCATTGATGTTACGTGGTGATCTCAATCTACAAAAATTTCAGCATCTCAATTCCTCATATAATCATTGAACAACTCACAACAATAAACTTACGTTCCGTTCCTGTCACGAACTGATATTTGCACAGCTTTACGGTACATTTCGAGGAGTTTCAAGTCCGACACTCCTTCAACATTGTCGAAAAAATCTGAAATCAACAACTTAAATCACAGTGCATAAAAAAGTATTGCTTCGTAATGTTAGATTAGTTGATATGCTCTATACTTGATGCCTTCACACTCGGGAAAAGAATATTATTGACACCAGTCCGACATCAAAATCAAAAACTTCGGAAACGAGGTCATGAAATAAAAGTAAAACCTAAGCAACAGTGTAACCTAATAAGGCCATATTCATCAAAAGTTTGCAGTCATTTCCAAACATTCTAAATATTTATATTACGTGAGACACTTTCAAACTTCGAAGTAACGTGTAAATAGTAGAAAGTACTGAAATTAATAAATGATATTTAGATGATTAGAGACTTACTTATTTGCAATTGAGTACTTGTCATTATTTAAAAAACTTCATTGCATTCCTGGCTTATACATATATTTTAATGCCTTGAATACAAAGGTCTTTCCATAACAGAAAGCATACCAGTGTTCCTTAGATCCTTTATGTACATGAAGTAAGAATAAATGTGAAAAATACAAAATCTAAGGAAATATAAAAATTGCTTTCTGTTATGGAAAAGTACTTGCTGTGCATACTATCTTGTCAGACAAATCCTCAAACTGTAAATAATGAGATGACTGCCAGTAGTAATTTCAAAGTAAATTACACCAATTGTAGTTGTCCATTGTTTTGCATGCGTATAACTATGTTGCTTTATTGCTGTAACACTTTTGATTCTACTCAGATCACTTTTACCACCACCAGCTCAGTTCTCTCTGAAGTAATTTTTGGTGTAGTAGGTCTGTTCTTAACTCAACAACTAGACTTACCCAAACACAACTTTAGTATGTAATTATGTCAACATTTATACATTAAAACCGGTATTAACAAGGTTTTCTTCTTTGCTAGTTTCAATCAGAAAATCCTAAAATATCACTGTTTTTACATAACACATTAATACGCCGCAGTATAAAGTACTGACTTTATCTTGCAATAACTCATTTTCCAATTCTGCTTCATTTGAACAGATACAAACAGAATTCACTAATTTTCTAGATCGAAATCCTTGCCAGACTTCAAAAAACACTATTAGTCTCGAAGTTACTGACTACAGTGATTGTTAGGCGGAATGATATGCTACAATTACCTCCTCAAATTTATTGTGAACTGCACAAATATCTGTCCCCCAGGTATTGACTGCTGACTGTAACATTTTACCTCAATAAGAGATGTGCTGAAGCACCTAGAGATTTTCATCAATAGAACAGTTTTTTCAAACTATCTGGCATTATGCAATATACCCACTGCAAAAAGTTTTGGAATACGTAGTTGCTGAGGTCGAATTTAAGCAATAATATGACTACAAATATTGTTTTGGAAGAGACTATCAATACTGTTTTTCCAGATATGCGGTTAAATGATATAAATAGTGTGATTAAACAATATAATACAGTACTAAAACAATATTGTTTTCAGTAATATGGTTTGAATGATTTCATATCACCCGACGTCCACAAATTTTGTCATTCACACTGAATCAAAAACTGAATTCAAACTTGTAGCCACTTCGAAAATATGAACTCTTTAACCAAATAAAACTAACGATGAACATGTGAAAAACAAGAGAATTACGTAAATAAATTTCCCTCATATGTAAGTATACGTGACAAGAACGTCACTGTAAGCACGAGAGCGAAAAAAAAATGCCATTCGGGATATGCGATAATTAGTAGTTAGGATACTGACAGAAAAGAGAAGAAATTGGAATATAATCGTGAGAAGACGCTGATCCTTCACATATGATATAACCATTACATTTATTTCGACAACAAATGGGAAATGCTAGTTAGCACAAATAAAATACCAAAAAGCAAAGTGAGGAAAGAAATAAATGATAAGACTAAATGAGATTATCAACATTAGTTGTAAATCGAACACGATGTCCTGAAAAATAATAAATTATAAAAGAATCGATGTACAATAATTACCATACTTTTCGATTAGCAATCAATGAATGTATTGATTTCACCTGAGAAATTTGATCAAAATTCAAAACAAATTTCTTCAATAACAATAAAGAAATGAGAGTAATAACTAATACAGTTTACGAGAGTACTATAATGGACGCTTAAAATAAAAGTGAATGGTAATATTTGTACTGTATCTGACACACATGAAACGTCAACAACAAACACTACTGTACATTTCAATTTTATGACAGACGGCTGTTGCTGTGAAAATAGAGTAATATGCTTGAACAAATCCCTACCTCGTCTGCTCTCCGCTGTATAAGTAAGCAAAGAAAGGAGATTCCTTCCTTGCAACCATCCATCAATTTCTGTTTCACAAGCAAGGAAGACCTTTCTTCGTTCTGTCTGCATATTAACTCCTCACAGTGATTTTTCCTCACATCATTTAAGAATAAAGAAATGAATACTTTCCATCTTGAAACAGTTTTTCACAAGTTACATTAAACAAATAGACTGATGAGTTAAAAGGCACTCGTATTGGAAAAAACCAGATTTGAAATTTGATCATTTTAAGTTTCTTTTTTGTGTCGCAAGAACTGCTTCCTGCTTACCGTAACTGGTTCTTACTAAATATCATTAGTTTTTAGATACTAACCATGTTTTGCTGTTTTTTTGTATTTACTTTTTCCACAAAAAGTAAAGTAATTATGAATAATTTGCGATACTATTATGATTCAAGTGAAGAATGCTGCATGCAAATTCCATAAAAAAAAGGTATTAGAATAAGTTCATGTGATAAAGTCGCCTAAGGTTTATAAAAAATAATCATGGAGGATAACACATTTCGTTGTGAAATGTGAACTGGACAGAATGTGACAGTAATATATTACTTATTGTCGAAGGATATGCAAATTTGACAACGTGCCTGTACAATCTGAAAGTTGCCAGCTTTGGGATTATTGTCTGATTTTCAGACCTACTGCATATTTCTTTCGCAGAAGTACTGTTGAAGGCTAGTAATGAACCTTCTTAGAAGTTTTTATCGTCTTTAATATTGCTGGATAATACTTTCATTAATCAAATTCAGTCTATACATGAAACTAAATTCAGCAAATAAATCAAATCAATATTATGATTGATTCCCTGTTCCTTTCCACTCAAAAATCACTTACTACTGGTTTGTCATGTTATTGTTTAATATGGGACAGTTTCTTGCATAGTAGCTAAAATGACTTAATAAATAGTCTTTACTTCTTCATTCGTAATTACTGTGTTCATGCAAATTATGAAGTTTGTGACAGCTTGTCGAAAAGTTCATTGCGACTTTTCAAAAACAAATCTTAACCCATCATTCTACACTTGTTTCAAATTAGCAGGAAATTCAACCTGATTTATAAACAATGGTAATATAAATTACAGCATCTGAATACTGGAAGATATCAATAGCCAATAGATGTTTAAGAATTCAAGTTTCATACATAATTGCGCTGACTGATTCGAAAACTTTAAATATTTGCTTATATTAAACATTTATGAGCTGAAGTCTTGCCGTATTCCAACTACGGAAGCAGTAACAATTAGTTATATCTTTTTAATCACTCTTTTTTGCTCCTTTTTCTTTTGAAACTGCTAAATTTCGGTGATTTGGTAATTTTGTGGTGACTTTGCAGTTTCATGATTCAATTTACGTTAACTTAAATAGATTATTAGGAAGATTACTAACAAAAATGAAAAAAAAATGAGTCTAGGTTTATAAATGTCATAGTGAGCTTTCATAAGTGTAAAAAGTACAAATAAGATTCAAACATGGGCGGAAAACTGCCTTCTTCGGGCATCTCGCATTTTGGTTGTTTGATACATTGTTTGATAGCTGAAAAATTTCATGTAGTCAAGAAGAATCATATTTACAACTTATTTATTGAGAGATTTCATCTGGCACACGTGTTAATTTATCAATGCACAGTGAGTATGAAATTTTTTACACGTTCCCTACGTTACTTGTTTAAATAAAGGTTCTAGCTAAATTGTATGCAAAAGAAATGAATATTGTTGTTTAAAAGAATTTGATTTTTTTGAATGCAAAAGCCTGCAAAACATGGTAATTAAGAAGTGCACTTGAATATGACTTGTTTAGGCAACTTTAGTAAATATCCACAAATAGTAAAAATGAAACAACGTAAAGCTGAATATTGTTTCTGAACTGGGAATATAACTTGAAAATTTATCATCTAAACGCTCCTAGTTTTTCTTCATAAAAATTTTGATCGATAAGTGAATTATTTACTTATTTACTGGTCATTTGACTAATTTGTAGAAAAAATAACGCGGGAAGCAGAATGCATATACGTTACCTACGATGAGCAGAGTGGCCGCGTTGTTGAGTGATACTATGATTTGGTTTATCATAGCGTGGATCAAACCGCACAAATTCTTGAAATAAACGGTCAGTTTCCGAGTCAATACTGTAATCTCGGCGAAGACAGTCCCCGATTGTATAACTCGTTGCATCTGTGCTAGCATTTGCAGGAGGACGTATAGTTGGTACGGAAGAAGAAAAAATATTGAAGTAAGCGCAGGACTGTGCTTTGATAGGCTGATTTACAGTTTGTTGTTCGCTTTTCGATTCGCTGCAATGTTAATTCTCTAGCAAGTAATTAACTGTCAAAATTAATAATACAGAACAAAATGGAATTGCATCATTATAATGGTTGCAATTTGATTTTGCATGATACATTCAGAGAAAAGGTTTAAAAGATATAAGAGGTGTGAATTGAAAAATGAGACAAACCTAGAAACACTGGGCGATTCGTATCCCACACCGTTGCTCGTTTCTTCGAACAAAGCATTACAAAACAAATTTGCAAATGCAATTTTATGCTTATATACAAACTTTTTCAAAAGACCATGAGATATTACTTACAACTTGTCAATAATTTTTTCCATTTTCAATCAATTTCGCATCGATTCTGTTTATGATGAGTTTATCTGTACAAGTCAAAGAGAAATTGCAGTGATGAAAGTGAGGAAGGAATACCTGTTTGGTCAGATTTAGTAGAATCAGTAGAAAACGTTTCCACATTTATTACCATTGGTGCGATGGAATCTGTTGGAAAAGCGTCATTTAACGAGACTTTACTCGGATTTACTCTTCGTCGATCACTCTTACGGTGTGTTAATAAGCTTCTGGAGTAATTCCCTTTTAAATTGAAATAAAACATATTGCTTGTTTCAGTAATTACAAAACATACCGGTATTGTTGTCGCTTGTAGTTAGCAGAACGAAGTACGTGTAAGAAAGAGGATCTTCGTCGATAATCAGATTGATCTCGCTGAATCGGTTCCGTATTTGACTCAAAGGATGTAGAAGCAGATTTTTCAGTAGATGACTGTTGCTGCTGGTGAACTCCATGTACTTCCAGATTCCGTCGATCAGCCCACAGTTCTAAGCATTCCTGACTTATTTTCTCCTAAAATTTGGGATGTTACATGAAAATGAATACAGTGCATACTGAAATTTGTTAGGACTAACTTTTGACACACTCACATTAGATATTGAATGCGAAAGAGTTTGCTGTCTTAAGTTAGCTTTTCGCCTATTAATTTCAGTTTCTCGTCTTTTCGTAACATTTGCTAATTTTTGATCATACAGTGTGACCTGAAACTGTTGATAATAGTACATGAAATAGTAGCATATGCAGAAAAGTATGCTTACACAAATTCGTGCATACGGAATTAAGCAAGAAGATTGCGATTGAGTGAAAAAGTGAAATGTGAGCTTTCACTTCTATATAACAAGCAAACATAAGTCGCTGATAACAATAGAATTGAAACGAGAGAAAAGAAACCTGACAATGGATGGGATAACCCATCAATTCTGGTGATACTGTTAAGGTGTCTCGCAAATTCGCATACTCTCTACTAAATACATAATTGTAATCGGAGGATAATGTAGCCTTATCGACTTGTTCTAAGAGCTTCTGATTTGCTACCTTCGTAAAAACTTGACGATAGTCGTATCGTTCTGGATTCCATGATCGCGACAGTACATGATCTTTTTTATACAATCTACGTTGTTGTTCACATGGTAATGGTGATGAAAACTGCAAATTGTAATTAGTAAATATTTTATGAAAGTTTTCAGCGTCTTATGTACTCAAGCTAGCAACATACATGAAGCAAAATGGTCAGAAGAAATTGAGTCCGAAATAACTTCAGGGTTGACAAAAGATATTTTTACGAAGAAATATTCTAAACATTGTAATGCTCGTCTAAATCTCCTTTCTTTTATTTCTAATTTCATTTCATTGAATGCTTTGATCTGTCAAGAAATCAATCTCACTTTTTTTTTTTGAATTACCTGTTTCCCGGGTAAATACGTGTTTTCAAATGCAGGACATCGCCGTAACCCTGATGTTCTCTGACGTTGAAGATCAGACCGTAATCGAGGGTGCTCTTTTCGCTGATGATCATTTTGCTAAAAAAATGATCACCTGTTTTGATCCTCGCTACAAGTCTCCGTGTCTTAATAATACTTCATTATTATGTAGATGAGTAGGTAGTATTGTCATTAAAGAAGCAAAGTACCTTTTACCTTTATGAATATATTAGGTCAAAAAATTGCAGCTCTCAAGTATAGCAGCTATATGAACGATGTTTTTTAAATTCTTTTTTGCAGCTTACTATGAAATCATGTTTTTTCAGATTTTACAATGCAAACATTGGTTTTCGTGAGAAAAATTTTTTTTATTCACGGCAACTGTCTTACCCGACATGACTAGAACTATTTTTTTGATTGCACCATTTATATACGTGAGATCAAATAGGCGTTTAATCATTGCTTAACCATTGATTTCATTTCATTTTTACACAAAAGACGTAACATGTGTAAATTACTATACACTTACTCTAAGAGATAACAGAACATCATACTGAAAGATCATTTTTCAACTTTTTCATTAAGTAAAACTTAGAAAGTATATCGATAACAAACTGTGATTATCTGACTCCCTAATATCATCTATGATTTCAGCAGTTAAGATGAAAAAATCTTTTTCAGTTTCAAGTTTCAGTTTCGTTTTTTTAGTAGTTTATTTTTGTACATTTGTTTGTGTATCACAATTATTTGATTTAATTCATTGTTAGCAAAAATAATGTAAGCATAAATGCTCCGTTCTTTTATTTAGATTTGTTGCAACAGCAAGCCAGAAGAAAGAAATGCTAAGAATAAAGGAACGAAAAAATTAGAGTTGAACGCGTTGGAATAATTTTTAAACTGTAATAGTTTAGCAGACAGAAGCTTAATTTTATAAGGAGTTCTTTCTTAAAATGGTTGCTGATTACAACTGTAATTGTATGATGCATGGCAATTATTCTAGAAAATACACTTTTTTTTGCTCAAATATCAGATGTAAATTTTTGGCTGTGCATAAAACAATTGCTCAATGAATTTTATTTCCAGTTTTGAAGCCTTAAAAATTTCACTTTTCAGTTGTAAGCGAGTAGTGAGATCATAACTGATTACAATACAATGGAGTAGCTGCTCCATCAGTTACAAATATGCTTGCATTCCTGATCATTGACTAATTGCTTGGTATATTTAGCAGTCATTTATTTAAATTTGTTGCAAATTGCTTCTGAAAGATCAAAGTAAGTACAAGCATTGATTTTGACTACACAAATATATAGCGATACTTTGTAGTGATTGTTGATCAAAGTACATAGTACACAATTCTGTACTCCTCAATAATCATAAAAATCATTCTTCGTTAAGTAGCTTATCAAACTTTTTGCACAATTTATGGATTCAGCTCGATATGACTTATTTTTGAAACTAATTAGTACAAGATTATTTTATGCAATGAAGCTATGATCAAAAAGTGTAATAAATTACTTGTGATAAGTCCGTTGATAATCACTAAATAATGAAAATATCACAAAGTATATCTCAGTTATGACTATACGAATGATGGTACCTTGTATTAGTTCATCTTTTTTAAATTGTGTTTAGAATATATATTCAAGAATAAGCTTTATATTAATAGGTTTTATTTGATAAATTGATTGGACGAAAATAATAGTTATTAAAGTACTTGCAAGTATAAACCTCACAAACACGCTGAAGAGAGCGATAATTACTGTCTATGTAGAAATTTCACTTCTAACATTTTCGTAACCACAAAACGAAAAAAATTAACATGGGACTATAATACGTTTATTAACTCACGCAAAAAATAATGGACTGCTTCATTTGTGGATATGAATAGATCTCATGTAAACTACTTTTTCAAGCCAAAAATGCAGTCAATGCTAATTTTTGTTCTCAATTGATGGCTAGCTATGATCTTTGTCAACCATTTAAATATATATGAATTGAGACTAAGCACTATCTCTAATTGAAAAAGTAAAAAAAAAAGCCTAGGTTATGGATTGTGGTTACACTAGGAGAAGACGAATTAAAGAAATTTGACTGAAAGCAGTTAGTTAGTCGGAGTAAGCAACTAATTGAATGCATGCATACTTTATGCAAATTCTAGCACAACAACGCACCTACCACCCTTGCATCCATGCGTTCATTAGATTGCTTTTAACTGTTTCTTGTCTTCTTTAGCAGTCTCGCATCGTAGATTGTACGACAAATTATGCAATGAAATTTCTGACTTTCCATCATAACTAGCCTTGTCTTAACTAGATTGACATAAAATCTTCATGCTGTATACGCGTATTTATCTCTTACACGAGAAATATTTTCTTGCGAAGTAAGCAAGCAATTAATTAAATGATACACAATTGCGAAGTAAGAAGTAGGCAAAATGAAAGAACATTTTCAATATAAACATAAATTTGAAAATCAATTTTTGTAGTGAGCTGATGATTCTAAATCAGTCCTCTACAACTGTGTATCATTTAATTAATTACTGACACTTATGCCCGCATTGTTGATTGTATTAGCTCAGAGACTCATTTATTTTATTGCTTAACAAATTGTTTGCTTATCTAAATTATATAACAGAAAGCTCGCGATAAAATTTTCCCAAGCTGAGCTTTATTCTTAAATGATTTACCAAAATCATTCAGTATTTCATTTCTTTATTTCTGCATCTGGTATACGTAATTTTATACTTCTTGACTAATCTGATTTAAAAATTGTAAGCACAATTGAGAAGCAATTGCTTCAGTAATTTAAGCTAAGGAAATTGCATGGAATGGTTCCAGCAGAGACTTCAAATGCTTAAATTTTTACGTTTTTTAATGAGTAAATATCGAAAAATGAAATGCATCAATAATTAATTACTTCTAAGCACAAACATAACATTGTGTATGCTTTTCTGTTTGCTATACAGTGGTATATTGTGATATAATGTGTAGTGCTGAACGGTACAAAAATAACTTTTCCTATCGCTCAAAATTAATGATAATTGTCATACAAGAGTATGTTAAATACATACTGTGAAAGACAAATTCAGAGATATCAATCAGAAATCACCAGCAAAACTTGTAAATAACGAGTTTTCTTCTTTTATTAAATTATTATCGTTCAAGGAGTTGGTCAACAACAAACTTCTCTTAAATTACAATTTTCTGTAAAATTCTGTAATGCTAGTCCAAAAAAATGTACAAAAAGAAAATTTTCTTTTTACTGGTATAAAAAATAAGTCACTTTAAAGTTTCGTTATCATTATGTGCATAACTTTTCCACCGATAGTTTTGTTCAAACAAGTCAAAATATTATTTTCCTTATTTTCCTTCAGTGAAACTGACTAGATCTGAAAATAAACACATGAGATAGAAACTGTCTATGATTAGTTTCAAACAAAAAAGTTCTATTATATTTGCTTAATCATTTAAATTTTAAAATACATTTATTTTGTTGTTTTCATTTCGGCTTTTCTATTTCCTGGCACTCCTGTTAACTGACAATCAACTGAATGAACTTCCTGCCTGAAGTCGATACAGTTCTGACACAGCAATACAGTTTTGACATAGCAAATTTGATATAATACAATGTTCATTACTGTCAGTTGAAAAGTCGCTTTGTTGATTTTTTCTACTATCTTTTATTGCTGGTTTTCCAGGTTTTATCCATCATTTACATATTTTATTAACTAATGCAAATATTGGTAAATTTCTGACAAAATTACAAGCATATCTCACTTTCTATTTTCGCTCAGTTTTGGATACAGCATTATTTCTGTTGTGTCAACTAACTCGTAAAATCACATCACAAGTTTCAGTGCTTTCAAGTACTTGTCTCAATCGTTTCTAATTTTATTTTCACTTTTTCTCATGTTTCCCGCTATTTTTATTTCTATGATGAATTGGATTTTCGACCTTTTCATTGGTGATAGTATAAAATTTTTTTGCTGAAAACTTATATTCAAATATTTTGTGGTAGTATAAACTGTAAACTGGAGAAAAACTCTGGCATTTGAATAAGGAAATGGCACATAAACGTGATGTGCTATTTTTCAGAGATAATTTATGTTAAAGATCAAGAAAATACTCTATTGTTGCTAGAAGGAATGAAAGGAATGAGTACATGGGTATTTGCAAATGCAAATGATGATAACAAATTGGAAGTATGAATGAATATTTGTCTGCTTGCTAATGATGATAACAGAGATTACTCCAGTAGTATTTTTACTCTTCTAGTATATACACTAAAGTGTAGTGTAAAGAAAGAGGCAAAATTAAATTTGAAAATGGAATTTTTACTCAAATATTGCAAATATTATAGCTTCATTTGAAATAAATTCTTCTTGGTGTCGTGTGGAAACCGCAAACTTAAGAAAATTATGGTTCTTAGAAGTAATTTGTATTTCAAGTAATAATTTTAATGACGTTTAATTTATTAAAAACCCGAGAAAAATGTATGTATAATTATTAATTTCTCGCTTTTTACAGTACTAATGATAAGTATTTAGCGATGGAACAATTTTTTACGGTTTCCACAAAACACTAACCAATAATTTCTAACTATTCTTATAATTTACTAATGAATTGAAAAATGAAAATAACATAATACTTTAAATTTTTATTTGGAAAAAGATAGATTAAAAAGGTTTGTTTTAAAAGTATGTTGTTTACTCAAATGCAATTTTCAGCTTTTCCATGCTCTGAATCATTTGAAAACTGCTTTAAAAAGTAGCTTTAGTATATTTAATTATTATATGATATATTATTTCTCAATTAATCGATTTAGTATATTCAATTGTATCTTCAATTATTCCTTGATCATCAAGTTATTTATTAGAATTTTTATTTATAGTATTTAACTCTACTATTTTGCTTGCTTGTTTAGACTGATTATTTCTCCACGTAGTGATTTTGATTTCTTTTTGCTCTGCTTCGAAATAATTGGAATCCAATAAGTACAAAACAACTAAAAAAATTATAGAATAATTTGAAGTGGTATTAGGAAAATGATGTCTTTTATTTTATTACAAAGCTATATTTGATAACTGAGCAATAAATATAATCCTAATTATTTTTATCATTCCTTTGTTTTCCTCAGTTTAGAAGACTTAGACATTTAAGATGAGAAAATTTTTTGTTTTTTCATTTATTGATTTGAGTAATGTTACAAATTTTTCTAATAGTATTCTGTTCACTAATAAACTCTTTTCAAATTAAAGCATATTTTGTGCTACAAGTTTGTACTAGAATTCATTAAAATTAATTCGCAGTAAAAGTCTAATACATTTCATGACATGCAATTGTTAGCGCAGGATTCATGGCAAAATTATTTGTAGCTACCATTTCATTAAATGCTTTTCTCTACAAAGAATCATAAAAAAGTATTAGTTCAAACATTCGAATGATTTCTTGAACATGCTTAATATGCAAATAATGAGCGCTGCCTTATCATTATAGTATTATTACAGAACGTTATTTATTTCACAAACACACAATGCATAAATAAATAATGGCGATTTGTTCCTTTTTTGCACAAGAATACTACTGTTAGCGTCACTACCATTATCACTGCCCTCAGTCTTGTTATTACTGCTATTGTATGTAATCATATCACAAATATTATCGTGGTAAATGACTGCTTTTATATGTACAAGAACTGATATAGCAAATGTGGGTGAGAAAAAGGTTTGTGCAGCTGTGCTTAATATACATTCTGCCTAGTATTTTGATTATAAAATAGAGCATAGAGCACATTTACATTTCATATTAACATGATTATAATTGCGCAGAGATTTTTTCCTCTGCATGGGGGTCATTCTTTGCGCGCTTTTGTCACAATTTTTCATCAACTTTTATTTTCTGATCACTTAGTCAATCGGTGCTTTAGTCGTACGTATACAGTGGAACAGATATCTTTAATATTCACTTAATACTTCTACATGATCAGATCTACAATTTCCATCTTCGTATTGAAGAACTACCACTGTTACAATAATGGTTATAGTATTATGCAGCCGATGTCCGAAATGGTCCTACAGTGCACCTTTCGTGAAATTTTATCTATCATTTCCTTGAAAGGTTAATTTTTCACATCGACAAGTTGGACATCTTCATATTTTCAACAAGTAATGTTCACTTCCTTATTGAAGATATCTGTCTCACTGTATACATACAAGTCTTCTCATCTGCTAATAACATCAGCTCTGATTGAATCTATTACCTCTTTTACCTTAATACCATACTTTATTACTTCTAAATTAGTATCCATATCATGATTTTGATTTTTTCAAATAAAAATCATCTCTCAATACGCTTCGAAACCTTTTCAACGATTAATAGCGATACGTTTCATTCACTTTGTAAAATATTCTCAGTAAAGATTTTATCTAAAATTATAGTCCTTCAGATGTTGATAATGTATTCTGTTCTGCTTTCACATCTACTGTTTGATGACATTGATACTGGTTAAATAGTGATCCAATCAATGATTCCATGGTAAGGAATCGCAAACTAGGGAAAGAAAATACACTAGTATGGCAATTGAAAATTTGTGAAGGAATATCGTATATCTTAACTGTGTTTGTCTCTCAAAGTCACAAAAAATCAGTTTATAGTTTTGAAACTCTAGTTTTATTATTTGGAGAAATCCTTCACAATTGTTAATTTTATTTGCTACAGAAAATGTAGTAACTTAAGAAATGATTACGACAAATATAACAGTGATGTAAAATAATTATTCCATAGAAAAGTTTTGTCGTCAAGGTTGTTTTGTCGATAAAAACGGGAGATTAGTTGTACTGTACATTTCAATTTTATGACAGACGGCTGTTGCTGTGAAAATAGAGTAATATGCTTGAACAAATCCCTACCTCGTCTGCTCTCCGCTGTATAAGTAAGCAAAGAAAGGAGATTCCTTCCTTGCAACCATCCATCAATTTCTGTTTCACAAGCAAGGAAGACCTTTCTTCGTTCTGTCTGCATATTAACTCCTCACAGTGATTTTTCCTCACATCATTTAAGAATAAAGAAATGAATACTTTCCATCTTGAAACAGTTTTTCACAAGTTACATTAAACAAATAGACTGATAAATGGAATAAAATGAATGTAATTAAAAAAAACTGCAGATCCTTTCCCAGCTTGTGATTGATTGTAAATTATAGCGATACATATTTAATATTATTTCTACTAAAGTACCTATATTTATCAAACAATTTTTGTCGTAGATGAACTGCTGTACCGGGAGTTTTTTACTTTGGTATATCAAACTTATTTCCAAATGCTTCAAGCATCATAATCTTCTGATTGATTTCATTGCCCGCTACTATGTTGTGGCTAACTTCTATAGTAATTTGAGATTACATATAATTTAATGCTTAAACTTTTATAGCAAATTGGTGGATGGTTTCTGGAATTCACTTGAGAAGCCATTATAGTAATTAAAAAACAGTGATATCTAGTCAAGTGCTATTGAAATGAATCGGGAAGGAGAAACAGTTGTATTTGCACAATACTATTCGAGAATCTAAAGCATTTGATGGAACGAATGGAATATCTCAATGCATTTTCTTCCTTTTCCAGTAGAAATTTATGGCAACAACCAAATTGGACTTCAGGGCAACAGCTACTACCAACACAAGTAATAGGAACAGAGCAAGGAAGAACAGATTCTAATATGAATGGTGTGATGCCAGGGCCTTCAAACCATTTACTAAAAAATGCTGAGCAAATATTTACTAATGATCTTTTATCGTTGTCCACTCCAACTGCACATCAAAGGATGCAGCAATATCCTTTCTTTGTTGGCACTCTGAATCTTCCTATCCCGCCAGTTATTTACGGTTATGCACCGCCAGTCATGGCTGGAATCAATTCTCACACTATGGTAAGCTGCTGTCATCCAACACCGTTCCCTCTTTTGACTCGACTACTGAATGTAAAAGATATTGGAGAGAAGAAGACTCTTGAAGTAGCCCAAAAAGAAAATTTTCATAAGCAGCATTTAAGACTAGATTCAACAAAATTATTACCTCCTCATGTCCAAGACTATTTGCAATCTATATTGGCAATTCGGAAACGACAAAGTTCAGAGTTTCCTCAGGTGGAACAGGAAGTGCCTGGTGTTAGTGAGTTGCTAACAGTTAAAAGACCTAAAGTTAATGTTATTATCCATTCTGAGACAAAGCATCTACAAGTCCCTTCTTGTCCTGGTATGTATTTCTTACAGCAATTTCTTGTTATTCTGTTATAATTGCAATGCTTAGCCATTAATATATACTATAATGAGATTTTGGAGAGCTGCAATATGCTTTTTAGTGATAAAATAAAGTTACTAGCATTCATTACTATAGTTCGTTGATTTGAAATTTGTACGTCATTAAAATGTTTCTCTGTGCTGTCAAACATGGGCAGATGGTACAATTTCAAGTTTCGATTTAAATTTCAAACTTATTCTTGTTAATAACACTTCGAATTTACAGATGGTAAATCAGCCATGAAAGAAGTAGAAATTAAGCAGGGAGAAATTTCGGGTACTGTGAACATCAAGTATGGTTTACAAGACACATATAACAGTTATGGTGATAGTGAGAGCATCCGAGATGAAGTTAATCAAGAGATGCAGTATGTGGACGTAGAAACAGTGGATGACAAATCAAATGCGAAGGAGCAAAAAAAGGCGCTCATTGAATTTTACAGAAAAGTCAAGGCTATCCGTTTGAGGTACTTTAATTAGTCTTTAAATGTATATCGTTTGGGTTGATTACTTTGGATTTACTGATTAACTTGTATTAATGTTTAAGATTTTTCTTTTAAGTTAGAAGAATAAATGCGGTAAACCGACTCGTTGAAAATATTCCAATAATTGTATTGTAATTCTGCATTTCAGCTATGGAGTAGAGGATAAGTTAATTTGTCAAATGTGTGAGCAAAAAGTTTCTAATTCCGATTCATTAATATTAATGCATTTGTATGGACATAGTGAAGTAATGCCATATCGGTGCAAGATATGTGGTGCTGGCGAATGGCAGTTAGATCGAATCTATGCTCACATTACGCGGGAACATCCGAAAATGGTCAGATCAACTTATATCAGCTATTTTTATAATAAATAATTATTAATACTTGAAATTTTCGTTTTTGAGGATTGAATATCCATGCTTTGTTCTCAGAGGGCACTTATGGTTAATAGTTCTCGTGTGCATTTATTCGAAATTCACTGAGGCAGAAATTTTTTTCAATATAAATAGGATATGAAAGTTTCTGGATCAGTGGAAATGGGAAAGATGATTTCCGTCGAATTGATGCATGTTTAAATTATGATATGAATAATTAAAGGATCCGTTAATAACTTACGAAAATCGAAGAAATATGCCGCAATTAATTAGTTTGTTGAGGAAATGCTTTGCGCGAAATATTGCTAAAAGTAGACCGGCATATTCTAGTGTGAGTTTGTCTTTTTGTGGAAGCTTATAATATTGATTACTCATTTGAGCAATAACATTTATTTTATCGTCACCAGATAACACACTATCATATGCAAGTCAATCATATGCATCACTCTGATAAATAAGCACTCTAAATAACTCTAAAAGACTACAGGAATCCGAGTCACAAAAAATTTTCTAAAGGTTTTGCATTGAAATTGTAAGTCTATATCAGTTTCAGTGCAGACATATACTTATTCGTCATAAAGTCTTTGTTATAGTGTGGGGTAGTTGAAATTAAGCATGGTAAAGTTGGTGCTGACACTGAATAATATAATAGAAAATGAATAAGAAACGCTTCACGCTTCAATGATTTCTATCTATGAGAGAAAAAAACGGCATGCTTTTTGTGTGAGAGAGATTAGATCAGTTCGAATCAAGCAAAATTGCTTGCATTTAATTTAGAAACATTACTGACCTGACCTCTAACTTCCTGATCAATTTTTAACAATGTGTACTCAATGTTCTCTTGGAATAACGCAAATTTCTTCAGGTTATCGATAGAATTTGTGAAGAGGCGCAAAAAAGGTTATCTCAAAAAGTTACTTGCCTAATTTGTGTCAAAAATGTAATAGCTCGCAGGAATTCACTTATTCGTCATGCTCAATCACATCTTCATCACAAGTTCATATTCCAGGCATTGAAATGACCAACTGAATTTGACGTTTCTAACAAGTACTTGTCACTAGGAAGACAGGCCTATAAGTTTGCATAAAGTCTGATCTGGGAAATCTGAGTTTGTTTTGTAAACGTCATGCTGAACCAAAATTTTCCCCATTTTTTGCTAAAAGTGTGATATAGCGGCAGTTAGTATCGAAAAAGATAGTATAAGTTAGAACGAAACTGTCTTTATCGCATTATCACTATCAACTTTTCATTGCTGTCATTTAGCTCGTACTTGCTACAATTTCATTTCTTCTAAAGTAATGGCTGGCAAAGGTGGATGATAACTGTATATTTAATTTAATTTATTTCAGATGTAGAATATGTGGTCTAATGATGTTTAATGATGGTTCCGTCAGTAAACATATTATAAAAGAGCATGGTATTCAAAATCCACATTCTGGCGTTCATTATAACCCATGCGTTACTACTTCTGAGAGGACGGAAATGGCTTTAACGACTTGTTTTTCTGATTTGTTACGATAAAACATATGAAATAAAACAAAAGTTCGCTCAAATTTTCTTTAAGCAAAAGTTGCGAGACTATTTTAACGAGGCTGCAACTATTTCTTATGTATTACTCAATTATATTTATGTACGGATGTTTGCATTTTTTAGTCTAACATACATTTTGTTTGCTGAGATTTCTGTGCAATAAGAAGTTAATAAATTTCGATAAAGCTTAATTTTAATCAAATTCGCCACGATGTTTATTTTTGAAAGAAAAAATTTACAGATTAGATTATTTTGTAGTGATAAAAAACTCCTACAGAAATACTCCACATGCTAAAAGACTAAGGTCTTTGCGACTTGAGAACTTATTACGTCGCAGATTACTGTTTTTGAACCTTAGAATTTTAAATATCAAATATAGATTCCCATTTGCTTGCCTTTTACTATTTTCTTATTGCGCCTGTTTTTTGCTTCATTCCATTAAACTATATGGGAGTGCATTGAAGGTTAAGAAGTATGCTTACTCATAAAAAATGATAAATTGTAAGTGGGAAATTCAAATTCTAACAAATCCCTAATTAGTTTCTTAGTATCTTATTTTTTTGACTCTTATTCTTTTTGAAATTTTCCAAGCCTGCAATTTTCTTTTTTTTTCAAATCAACTTGTTCACATAAAAGTGTTTTCAATACTTTGAATAATCATCAACAGATCTATAATCTTGTATTTGTTCTATACTATTCATACACGCTATTCACAATTAATATAGAAGTTTTCCGCTATATCAGTCAAATTCTGCTTTCTTAGCATTTTAAACTATATATTGCTTCTTATATTCAAATGAAATAAACCCATCCAATCTTTAAATGGCTGCTACTGTGCTAATTCTTGCAGATGGAAGATAATTGCTTAATGTTTTGTTTGTATTTTTCTCGGCTTTTTCAGAAAACCTTACTCCAATGATGTATCTTGATTGCAGACTGTGGTATATTTTTGTTTGATATTGGTGTCAAGAAAATAGAAGAAAAATCCGAAAATTTTGTTCCTACACATTTTAATCATTTCTTTTCATATACTTGCAACGATTATGAAGACAGTTGAAGCAGAGTGTAATTCTATGGTTTCAGGCCTTAAGCCATTTTTGTGAAGTAGTCATTCAATATTCTACCAATTTCTCAAAAGCAAAGGCAGAAGGATTATGGATTTGTCGCTCCTTTTGTGTAGTACAAAAAATTTGCTCTTCTGTATTCTGTGCAAAATTACGATGAAACAAATCAGAATTATTTCTATATGTTGCTATTGTCCGCTCTATTAATTTCATCCCTAGTCTATTCAATTAAATATACGACGTGCTTTTTCTTTTTTGAGTTTGATTACAGTAATTAAAGTGAAGTATTTTTGTTTTTTTGTACGTAACAGACATATACACGGATTTAAACAAGAAATGTCCTAGAGTAGTATTCGGCGTGCACGTACATTATTGTATGCAATATGTCATGCATCTTTTTCTCAGCTATGCCGTTTAGTTTACAAAATGAAAGCCACAAAGAAGTAAACTTGAGTTTTGATATTTAGAAGAGAAAAAGATTAGAAAATTGATTGAGAATAATATTAAGTATGGAATAATAGATAGTTCAAACATGTGCAGATTCATAGATAGTTTGAACATGCATTTAAATAGAGAATTTAATTGCCAAGGAAGAAATTTGCATGTGACAAATGCAGCTCACTTAACTGCTTAGTTATCAGTGAATTAACGATTAATGTTTGTGTAATTATTAGGCACTATCTAAACTCCATACAATGATGTTTATCGGGAACAAAGCAAACCTTTTGCAAATAATCAGTGTCGGGTAGTAAACGATGATATTGTCCAGTTTTCTGACAAAGTTCAAAAGAAGCACATTGTTGTTCTTCATCGTTAGCAGCGGGTAAAATCATTTCCACGCTCCGAGTACGCTGGAGTGGGTCATCTACCCTCAAGTAATTACTTCCTGCAATCTTTACAATTTATTTTCATCTCAAAGAATATTCGCCCGCCTTCATCTTACCCTTTGCATACTTTCACTTTTTTATTTTTGTGAACTCCCCAACATCTGAAGCTATTAGATGTCAGCATATGTTATTTTCGTTGAAAAGAAATTAGACTAGTGGTAATGAAGATTTGTATCGACTTTAATTTGTTTTTTTTTGAGAATATTTTTTTGTCCTCACTTATTAGCTAGTGGAAACTGAATATAGTAGCAAGATGAGGAAACCTTTTTTTTTTTTTTTAACCGTAGTCAAGCAAGAAATTTGAAGACTAAGGCTGTCCAGCTGTTGGATTATGAATATGATCTTTTGTTTGAATCATTAAGGCTGGTTAAAAAGGAACTTCTTGAGAATTAAATTATAACAGAAGTAGAATAAATTCATTAACAAACTAGTTGCAGTAGCAACCGCTGGAATCTGTACAGACTTCTGAAAATCACATGTTTGAGCATCTTCCTCGAATGTACAATCAATTACCTCACTTGTGGTAATTTCTGGAAAGCTCTGACGATATCATTTGTAAAAAGGAAAAAAGTGCTAGTCGAACATTGCATATTTAATGAATTAAAAAAATCTATAGATAATTTTTATTATAGTTTCATGTCTTCTTCTTTTCAGAAGTTTTGTCAGTTGAAATCAAGAGTTCAGAAATTGACAAGTTGCTAAAAAATTGAGAGTAGAATGTTAAATTTACTTCTTTAAGATATTTTTGAAAGACTTTATATTGGAGTAATAGACGTGTGAAGCAACATAAAATTAGCATGAGAACAAGTAATTTGAGAATGAAAAAGTGCTGACGTTATTACACATAAGATAAACAGTTTTTCTGCATAAAAAAATAAAATATGCTCAAACTTACTGGGCAGTGGTTTGAAATAGATACTTGGTCGATTTTGTTCTTCAATAGATGCTTTACTTTCAATAACAATCCTGCACATATAATACAAACGAAAAGATCATTTATGAATTGTGATACTAAACAGATATCTGTTGAAATTCTAAAACTTCAAAACAGTCATTTATTTCAAAGTTTCGAGATGGTTTCGTGTGAATATACCACTACTGAGTGCATTTATATATAACATAATAAGTTGGTATAAGCACAGCAACTAATGTTCACCAGCATTAATTTCATCAAATATTTATTTTGATCAAAAGTTAGTTTCACAGCAGTTCTATTTTAAAGAAAATCCAATAAAATGCAATCACATTCAAAAAGGATTATCTTAGTGGAAATTTTCATGCTGCTGACTTCTGTCTTTTACGATAGTAATTATTAAATTTTAAACTAAAAAATTACCAGAGGTCACAGTTACTACTTGAAGGCAAAAATGTGTTTATTGAGTGCATTAAAAAGCATACAAAACAAACTTATTAATTGATTGTTGTACTGGTGTAAAATCGATCTGTGGATGAACGCTACGACATTGTAGCAACGGTGATTTTGATAAGCAATTTTCAGTGATCGCTGATGGTAGTGACAATGGACTGCATTGACTGCTTGCTTCATGTCGCGAATGGTACCCTTCCTTTTCAGGTTTATCTGCCCTAATATGTAATCACACTTTAATTAAATTTTTAAAGTCTTCTCTTATCATAATCAATTATGTGCTGACGTGCACAATTTGTGAAGATTTTTAGCTCAAAAACAGATAAAGCTAATTGAATTTATCTGCTGATTGTCGTACTAAAAGATATAAAAAGCTGATATTTTTTGGAATTTTGATAGTTTGACATGTGATTGATTGGTTTTTGTTCCATTGAGAATAACAAAAAAGGCATATTTTCTAAAATTTATGGTCAAGTAATGGCGAAAGAATTGGACTCAATTCATTTCAAATATCACCTTTGGCATAAATTTTGCCCCCATATATTTTAATGGGCAATTAATTGCTAATGTGCTTACCAGTGAAAAATTATTGTCATTCGGATTCGATAGTGTGCTTTATAAAATGTTATTAATGGGTAAGCTTGGCATAAAACTGCGATTTATCTCTGTGTAAGTATTTATCAAGAATGCGGAAAGATTGCAAGAAGTAATGCTCTGATCAATTAACTACAAAATTTTTTTATTTGAAAGTGTTGGAAATTTGTAATTGAAATAAGTTTGATTCTCACGCAGATATTAGTGGCTGCCTTCTGAGACACAATCGATAAATATAAACAACAGTTATTACGATAATTAGCCCTCCCACCACCCCTGAAACGAAGATTACAATCGCCAACAGACCTCTTTGCTCTTCCTGAAAAGCAAATAAAACACATCATCTTTTTCAACTTTTGGTCGAAGAAACCAGCATACATAAAAATACAAGCGATACTGTTACCAACATGTTAGTGCTATTGATACAAATACATTGGAGTGATTAATTAATTAACTGTAAAGATCTATTTCTTTGTTTGTGCAACATGAATAATGAATGGAGCATATATGTGTGCGACAGACACATTCAAGTTTATGTGTATGTATTTGAAACAAACTTTTTGCCAGTTTAAAGTTGATCAAAACGTTAGCTTTGGGTTAGAGAAATTAATTCAGATAAGCAGAAAATATAGCTGTAAGTTGATTAAAAGTATTTGCGCAATTTCATTATTCTCAGATAAAAATATTTCTTAAAAAGTATTCAACTTGCTAATTTATCCTAGCGAAATTTTAATTAGTAGTATCAAATTTTAAAGTGTAAATGAGATGAGCAAAGATTTTTTATCAAAAAGAAAGGAACCAAAAGTGAAGGTAAAAAATAACTAAAATGCAAAGGCTGATCAATCAATTGGCGGTAAAACCATTACTTCTGTTCAATACATACAACACTTATGTAACATACAACTTCGATTTTCCAAACAAGGCCTTAAATATTTTGAAAAAATTGTTCTCAACGAATGTGCTGCACATTTTTTACAGAAGTGTAAATCTGTGTGAAATAATTTGGATATAAAATGCTTACTTTTACATTTTACATGCAACAAGAAATCCTTTTTATTCACAAACTTACACTGATTTTATTCAAAAAAGTGCAACCGAAGACTTACAAAAGATAAAAAATGCACTGAAAAATTTCGATAAGTACGAGAATATAAATTCATTTTGCTACTTGTAACAAGATAAAATCTTTTCATACCACGTATTATATGTTAACTACTATTCAAAAAATAGTGGATAATAATTGTTAATATCTACCAAAAGCAAAAAAAAGGATCCTAAAATAAGTAGCAATGATTCTCATTGTTATCAACGTTTGATATATTATTCTGTCTCTTTAGATGTGAATTTTAAATTGACAAGTAAATGTTTACTTATAACAAGTTTATTTTATTAAGGTTATGAATTGTCTTAATAAGGTTATGAACACATGAATATGATAATCTACAGATCATAAAATGTAAGCAATGATTTTGCGATATGCAGTTAGACCTCAGTTTCGTCAATTATTTAACGACAGCTTTAGCAAGAAAAACAAATACTATATCGCTACTTTACTTTGCTATTTTACACCCAGTTTTTTCTTCTGCCATCTGTATAATTAGCTTGTTTTGATGTTTACAACGCAAAAGCTGAATAAAAAATTTTCACCCACATGATTAACTACATGCATCAAATTTCGTATTCTAATCAATTTTGCTTGTCTCCAGCAAATTTAATAATGACTATCATTTTCGAATAAAATATGAATAGGAAAGGTGTGCTATTAAAAATTTTCAATAATAGCAAAAAAAAGAGCAAGGTAAACTAACTGCTCAAGTGAGAGGAGTCATGAATAAAGCATAACGACGTTGAATTTTCGCCAAATAATGCCATCTCGAGAAGTATTCATAGAATTTATAATCTTGATTAAAACTGACTTCTTTTTATTCCACAACTTTAATTATAATTTGGCTAAAATTAATGAAAATGTGCCGGAAATTTGAAAAAATAAGTGCAGAATAATAACTGAACTGCATTATAAACAACATTATAAAAAGTTTCATTTCTCAATACTTCAAAATTCGTAATTTTCCTTCAAAAAAAATGTCCTTACTTCATTTTTTCTTATATTGAATTTGAAAGTGAATACTTGGGCAGTAGTGATTATAAATAAAAAGTTAAAGCTCTAGAATTAAAAAGCAAAAATTCCGGACAGAATGAATTTGTGGCAGCTTCGTCCTTGTTAATTAATCATTTACATGAATGCAAATTACTGCTGCCGAGATAATTGCTGTTTATAAGTCAAAAAAGATTTAAAAAGAGGACTATGAATAAAGTATCGGTAGCAGATGTTTGGGCAGAAAATAACTTTAAATTAGCCACGATGACATACATAACATCTTGTGGTGTGAATTGTTGAGAAGAGTAGAAAAAATGCTAAATAGGTTTTAATTTTTGGATTTTGATTTAATGGTTTCAATGAGTTCTAATAAGTTTCTAGTTTAAATTTGTAACAATTTATACGGCATTATTGCAAATTCATTGTCAATACTTATTATATTTTCTGTATTTTCTCTTTTGATTGGACTACCGCTGCTTCTAATTGCTTGATTGCTCCTCTAAATCTTCGGTTATATGCAAGCATTTTCGGAGCAAAAAATTGCTTTAACTTAGAAATATTTATATAATTTTTTACAAAAAATTGCACGATTATGTGACATCAGTGATTCCACTGTAAGAACTTTCAGTAAATTTTTTCCAAAAACAAAATTGTTATATCTAACAAACTTTTGATGGAAATTAATTCTAACAAAATGACTTTAAATGTATAATATGGTATCACTGAAGCTTAAATACTTCATTAAATTTTCAGTTTAAACTGATTAAAATCGAAAACAGACGATGAAAACTTTTAACAAGACTTCAAGCCCTTCTTCATGGTCAAGAAAAATTCCACTATAGTATATTTGGATTTGCGATTCCTAAGTGAATTATGAAATTATGTGACTGAATTGTGCGTTTTAACGCAGTAATTTACAGAGTTTAATTTATAAGTTCCTGATTGACCACTTGATTAATTCATCAATTAGCTGATTACCTTTTTTAATAAGAATTACTTTATGGCATAAATGATGCCAATCCTTTTTCTAGAAAAAAAAAGCGTCGTTTATTTATAGCAAATCTGGTAAAAATACACTTTCGCTGAACGATACGATCATTTTTGCTTAATCACTGGCTACGTTTATTACATCTCTGTAACATATAATTTGTAATGTGTTATTGTTTTATGACCGGTTGAAAAGTTTGCTAAGTGCTGTATGAAATGCATAGTGAATGCAGAAAAAGGCACGATAAGCTAAAAACTTGAATATTTTCCGAAAAGAAGACTGAAAAAAAGAAAAGTGGAAACTATGATAGAAGACTTGGTATCGTGAATTATCGTCCAGTCCCAAGAAATTATAGAAAATGGAAAAAATAATTGAATATATTTTGTGACCGCTAGTAATTGCAGTTCTATTCACTACTGATACTTGATTCAGGTATGTAATTTTGTTCAGTAAATTTGTTATTGCCCAGGCAAATAATCATGTGATGATGGAGATGTCTTGAACTGGTCGTTTTCAATTCTTTGCGTGAAATAGCATTCTCTGAGTATATGGGAAAAATATATGACATGCGACAGGCTGGAATGCAATGTAAAAATAAAAAAATATAATGGGGCTAATTAAGTACTGAAAATGTTTTGCTATTGGAAGGAGCAGAGCAGTTACTTGCTATCAGACTGAAAATAAAACTAAAATGTTTTTTCAAATGAGAAGCTTACTAAATTTGGTTCTTCAGAAAATAAATTAAAAAATAAATTTGGGATTTGCATCGTTTTGGTTCTTCTAAATATCGCTGAAATGAGGTATGAAATCGGTCAAGCGAACAAAAAGCACCAAACACATACACTCACACACATACACATACAAATACACAAATTTGAACACATTGATTGGATTGAAAGAAATAAATGCAATCGAAAATAAAATGCATTTTTAGCAATTAATGAACTAAAAAGCTTGCTGTTTTTTATTGCTGTTTCTTATTTATCAACGATATTTTTTAAAGTCATCTGTAAATGTAATTCTGTTCAAGTAAACCGAATTCTGTTTTTCCTTTATGATTCAGCGCGGATAATAAAAATATCTCATCTGTTCTTTGGGAAATCAAATCTTTTTCAGGAGTCAAACCAGAGAAAAGTTCTTCATCTGCATTACACAAATGCTAAACTTGATAAATGTGAAGAAATTAAAAAAGCGAGCAAAAATGTTATATGGAACAAACAACTGTCAGTGTGTTAAGCAAACTAAAAGAAGAAGGAAAATGTCACTAAAATGTTAAAAATTTTTACTCAAACTTATCAATTAAATAACTTTTCGCAGATTAAGTTTAACAAGCACAGCACACTTTTTCATTTTCAGTACAGCAAAATACTAAAATGTTTGCTAAGTGTGAAATCATAAATGGCTGAAGCAACAATAATAAAGTGTACTGCAAATAAGTCTAGGGCTCTCCTTGTCTTTAAAATAATTCAACTTGAATAACTAATTAAGTAAGGTGCAAAACTCAGTATTTCTAACATATCAACTTGTCATATTAATAATAAAATCATGTTATAGTTCAAAGAATTTGCAGCGTATGCTATTAAAGAAAAATTTTGTCAAATCAGCTATTATTAAAATGAGTGGTGCAAAAGTGTAATAGCCATATAAATATTAGCATAAACCAAAGATTATCTATCGAAGATGAAACTTCTTCAATTAATTTTGCCAGAAAGCGGACACAATAACAAACTTTTTTCTTTGATACATTTAAGCGGTAAAATATTCATAATGTTTTGCATCAATGGCAATTAACTTATTAATAGATTAACAATTATACCAAATAAATACATATTCTTCCATTACTTTTCCATTCTCAGTGTTTTTTAAGTCTTCCTAGATCGTTAAGAATAAGAGACAAACGTTTGAAGTATCTGAATTTATAAAATGAGATTAAAGAATTCCCGAGACAGGCACCTGCTTATAGCAAAAACATTGCTAATGGATGTCATTGAAAATGCATGTAATAGCATCAGTGGTACTAAAAAGTAATGTCAGTGAAAACATAAATTTTCTGCTTCTTCGAAGTTAAAAGTTAGCGTAAAAAAGCACGAAACTGTTCAGAATTTATTTTAAAAATAATAGCAATAATAAGAATGGAGTAATTGATAACTATGATGTCAATAAAGTTGAAACATGGATTGTTTAGAAGAAATAGCAAAATAAACTTTGATAATTAAATGCATTTTGATTACATTAAGAATTAGTTGGAAAGAGCATTATTTAGTTATTAATCGCCTAAATTGTGATAACAATTCTTCTATCTCTTTTTTGCGATAAAATTGACAAATGGATGCTGTATTCGTGATATAGATAGATGTAGGAGAGAAAAAATAAGGATAAGACTGGATGAGGAATATAGATAGCCCTATACTCACAGCTACAAAACACTGCATAAACATATTCTTCTCTATTACATGCACAAACAAAAAACTACTCTCATGTACAACCATGAACACAACCACATGCAAACTGCAGCATTCAACTACACGAACAGCTACACTCAAACATGCAAAGTCGCATTGCTCAAATATTCAAAAACATCTCAGTATACAAGCAGGCATACTAACTTACTTAAACAAAACATTTAAGAACACGCATACGTAAGCTGACCCAAATAAACATCACATACTTCTACAACTTCTGTGTTCATGTGATAGAAAAGGTAAATATGTCACATTCCTACGTAAACATGTAAAGAATGAATTCATTCTTGTAGCGACACACGCGCGACCAACACATCCACATAAACTTAAGCTTTTTCTTTTCTAGTTCTAGCTAGTTCAAAGTGAGACTTGAAGCTGTTACAATAAAGCAGGATTGAAATATTACCAATATCTTATAAATTCCACACGTTCATAATAGCAGCAAGTTCTCTTCATATGTCAAAACACAGAAGTTCAGCTTCATTTAAAATGTATCACAATTAAAGCAGAAGACCGTCACAAAATCGAAAAATTCATACCAAATTATGAGAAAGGCATGCATATATGTAGTCATATAGAATACTGATATGACACAAATGCATAACGAAATGATTACACAACAAAGGCAAAGAAATCTCAAAAATGAATCATTTTGCCTCAATACGTTGTCAATCTTTTGCTATAACAATTCCATTTACTCATATATGTATTTGTCGTACATGAAGGAGTTTTAGTTGATCAGAAATTTGTAATTTAAGAAACCTTTAGCTCTTATTATTTTATTTTAAAGCAGATGAAGACAATTCTCAATTTTGCACTCGTCACAGTTCTACAAATCTTTATGCTTGTGCTTTTAAATGAGTCTGCCCTTGACTGAGCGTTGTTAGTACGTCAAAAATATATGAAAATTCTTGAGTACATACATTCATCCAAAAAAATGTAGATACTCATTAATATCAAAAATATTTAAAAAATGAAAACTACATTTTTTGTATTTGTAGAAATTACTTGTCAAATAAACTTCTGCAAATACAACCATCATCACCATAACTTTTGCAACTGCATGTGCTGGCAATAATGAAATTAAAAATAATTATGCTGGATTGGTTTGGCAGGATGATTGGCCTACCTGATGCTTTTTTACCTTTCACTGAGAATGGCAAGGGAGGTGGCGTTATACAAGTAAAAATGATACCTTCTTGTCTTATGGCATTCACTGTTAAGTAGCAGTTGCTGAACTGTTCTTTAGGTCGCAATACGAGAGAAGGAGGCATTTCATTTCTTTCCTTTGCTAGCATGGAAATGTTGAAGTAGCTCGTTGCTGTCCATTGCGATAAAACTTTAATTGATTGCCATTTACTTTAATTTGATTAATTAAATAACAGATTTGAGGGTTCTGCAAGTGAATGCAATTTCGTATCGTTGCTCGCTGCGCGATTCGAAGTGCTAAAAGAGCTCAAACAGCGATTCCCCTTTGTTGAAGAAGGGCTTTTGCTGTCCAAATTAGTCGCATACTGCTCGAAAGAAGTATCTTTTAATAATTAAAACTCGAAAACTTTCACGTTACTTTTATCACAAACAAATAATTCCCGTAGTACGTTGCTAAAATTGCATTGTTGAATACATTTTACGTGATACTGATGCTGTTTTATTCTAAAAG